GACAGCCATTAAGTGTTTGAGGTCACCTTTGAATTCAGGTCTTCCTGACTCATAGTCCAGCACTTCATCCACTGCCCCACCTAACTGCCTCTATGAACCTCATTGGTTCAAAAATCCAGAGCAGGAAGGAAACTGAGGCTCATATAGTCCAGCCTTCTCATCTGCTGCCCACGGGATAGACTTGATTTCTCAAAGATAAGATTATGTTCCTCAAAACAAGCTCAATGGAATTGATTGAAGTAATGAAAATAAAATAGAGATTCTGGGAATTCACTCCAGCTGTTTATATCTTGCCACAACTACCCAGATGTAAAAGTAATTAGTCTTGTTAATATGTTGGGAAGCAAGGATGATCATTCAAAGTGCATACAAACAATCCAAGGACCCCGAGGAGGGGGTAGCCTGGCACACTGAAGGCATAGGAAGAGAGGAGAAAAGACAGACGAAAGAAAAGAGCCTGGAGGAAACAGAGTTTGAGAAGCAGGAGCAAGAAGATTGGAATGGAAGGGTGGGACTAATGATGTAAGCATGACAATATTAACATTGGCCTGAGAGAGACTATTGGACCCTCTACCTTCAAGATCAGTCTAGGTCATTGGAGCCTCTAGGTGGGCAAAGTGCAGAGTATAATAGTAAGCACTTAATGAACGAATTTGTAGGAGGGCATTGTGTTAGCCTCAACAGGTTAGGTATGGAATCAAAATATCACTTAAATCAGAGATGTTGAACACAAAGCCCAAGGTCCATATTGTGACTGGCAACACTCCCCAGATTCCTGAACCAGATTAAAATGTGATTGGGAAATAGTTAACAAAGTTCTTAAAAATACAGTAGAATATAGGTAATGTTAATATGCAGTTTTCTAAATCAATGTGCTACCCACAGAGATCGTTAGGTATAGTTTAGTGGCACCTGTTTCTATTTGAGTTAGACACCACTGAGTTAAATAACCTGAAATGTCCTTCCCCCACCCCTTCCTTATTCAAACCTTATCCATCCTTCAGGACCCAGGCAGCAAGGTTCTACTGCCTCCATGATGTCTTCCCTGAATGTTACAGTTCTCTTTGCTCTCCCCCCTACTCTGAGCTCCTACAGTGCTCATCAGTAGCACCTCATCCAATCCACCCTATCCTAACAAGTAGTTAGTAAGCACCCACAATTGGCAAAGCACTTTGTTAGGCACCTTGGATAAAAAAAACAAAAACAAAAACAAAACAAAACAAAAAAACCTAGTTCCTGCCTTCCAGGAGCTTATATTCTGTTTTTCCTGAAGAGTTTTCTTTAAAAAAAAAAAAAAAAAAGCATTGATATCATGAGATCATAGTTTTTATATCACTTTCATTTACAAATATATTCCTCCCCTCTCTTCCACCCAGAGAGTCACTCCCCCAACAAAGAAGAGAAAAAGAGGGGGAAAAAGTGGTTCAGCAAAACTAACCAATATATTCACTGTCTGACAATATATGCAGTGTTCTGAACCCTTGAATAAATGAATGGATGAAAAAAGCATTTATTAAATTCCCCACCTCTGCAAACAAGGGAGGGAGATACATTTTTTTCATCTCTTCATCAGAGTCAAACTTGGTCAGTAAAATTACAGTGTTCAGTTCTGTCTTTTTTTGCTCTTTCCATTTACAACATTGTAATCATTTTTTCTGTAGTGGATATTTTTTCCAGGTCTTGCTTAGTTCTCTTTTACATCTCTTCTTTCCACATTTATCTGTATTCTTCACATTCATTGTTTCTTATAGGGCAGTAATATTCCATTATTCTCATGTCCTACAAATTGTTTAGCCATTCCCCAACTGATGGGTATCTACTTTTTTTTCCCCAATTTTTTGCTACTACAAGTTGTGGTATATGAATGTAATGGAATACTCTTGTGCTATAAGAAATGACAAGCAGGTTGATTTCAGAAAAACCTAGGATGACTTACATGAACTGATGTAGAGTGAAATGAGCAGAACCAGGAGAACTTTGTAACAGCAATATTGTTTGATGATCAACTGTGAATGACCTAGCTATTCTCAGCAATACAATGATCCAAGACAATTTCAAAGAACAATGATGAAAAATGCTATCCACATCCAGACAAAGAACTGATAGAATCTGAATGCAGATCGAAGCATACTATTTTTCACTTTCTTTTTTTGTGGGTTTTCTTTTGGTCTGTGTTTTCTTTCACAACATGACTAATATAGAAATATGTTTTGCATGATTGCATATATATAACCTGTTTCAAATTGCTTACCATCTCAGGGAAGGGGGAGGGGGGAAGAAGAGGGAGGAAGAGAATTTGGAACTCAAAAATTTTTTAAATTAATGTCAAAAATTATTTTTCCATGTAATTTGGAAAAAAATAAAATCTTATTCAAAATAAAAGAGACACACCATGTAAATGGTTAAGTATATACATATGTTTACATATATGCTTATTTGTATAAAGAGGAGGTGAGAGCAGGAACTGACAACTAAGAAGATCAGGAAAGACTTCCTATAAGATAGGGCCTGTGTACTGAGCCTTGAGGGAAGCTGGAGATTCTAAGAGACAGCAGTTAACAGGGAGACTACTCTAGAAATGAGGCACAGGGGTGTAGGTGGAATGTTGAGATTGACTAACAAGTAGGCCGGTTGGGCTGGAACTTAAGGGAAGGTAAAGAGGAACAGTATTCTAAAAGCCTGGAAAGGTTGGCTGTAGTCAGCTTGTTAAGGGCTCTAAGTGCCAAGCCAAAGATTACATACACAGAAGCAATAAGAAGTCATTGAAATTTCTTGGATAGATGAGATGGTCTGAGTTATACTTTAGGAAGATTATTTATAAGTCATGCAATCACAAGTACAGAGAATGAATACTGAGTCCAGTCTTAGGGACATTTCTCCTTGGTCCCCACCCTTGATGGAGACTTGTGCCAACTCCATGGATTCACTCTTTGCCTGGGTCAAGGTCACTCAGCTCTGCTAAGATTCCTTTCCAAGAGTCTTCTTTCTTCTCCAGTTCTCTCTCTCTCTGTTTCTCTCTCTGTCTCTTTCTGTCTCTCTCTGTCTCTTTCTCTCTCTGTTTCTCCCTCTCTCTGTCTCTCTGTCTCTCTCTGTCTCTCTCTCTCTTCTCAGTCTCCCTTTTCTTCAGGCCAAGGGAACCACAAAATGTTAATGACCTCTCCACTTCTTCCTTCTACCTCCTGGTTGTCTGGAGATCTGCAATGTTCTTCACCATAGGAATCATTCTGCCAACTCAACACTTGTTGGTGGCAGTGGCAGAGCAGCAACTATTGCAGTCAAGAAGACCCGGCTTAAAGTACTGTCATCGATGGATACATCCTAGCAGTGACAGCTAGGCAAGAGGCTTAACCTTTCTCTGTTTCCCCAGGCAACTCAATATATTGCAGAGAAGTTGCTGGGTCTACTTTGGAAGAGGGAATTTCCCAAGACAGAGTTCCTTGTGCCAATTAAATCATAGATCTACCCTTTCCTCTTCCCCCCAAACCCCCCCAAATCTTCCATGGCTCCCTGTTACTTATCAGGTAGTAATATTCCAAGTCCTCTGACTGGCATTCAAGACCCCCCACAATCTGCCACCACCCTACCCTTTCAGTCTTCTTCCATATGTCACCCTCACCACGCCATTCCCCCACCCCCACTACATTCAGTTGTTTATCCTTCATTTTTTTGAGAACCAATGACATCACAGGTGAGGTCTTGACTTGCTCGTGAATTGGATTTAGGTGAGGCACAGTTGCACAAAGTCATCAGCCCCATTCTGTCTTCCTGAGTCATCAAAGTCCAGTGGCAAGACCAAAGTCAAGACCACTGGCAACGGTTCAGGATGCAATGGATGACCTTGGCTTCTTCAATGTCTGACCAAGCTCTAAACACCCCACAGCACCTGTTTCAGCCACCTTGATGGTCATTGAAACACCTTGTTCTCATCTGCCCATTCCACTAGGGAAAGTCTTCAGAAGCTTGGGGTAGACATCCCCCTTACTCACGGAGGGGTTTGAGGCCTGTCGGTTATCTTCAACCTGGTTTAGCCTATCTGCCAAGATGGTTTCACTGGGGAGTGGCAGCTGTGCATGCCACAGCTTCTTGGAGTCACAGGTAAGAGTTGGGTGGATGGGGAGCCCTGAAAGGGGCTTGGCAAGCCCTCATAGCAGAGATGCTAGTCCTCCCTGAACACTCCATATGCCCCAACGTACACCACCTTGGTGGTGAGGTGACTGAGTGCTTAAAGCAATGGAATCCACTGTGCTCTGCACACATGAGTTTAAATTCCATCCTCATTGTGTTTCTTTAATGAGTCCTTTAGAAAGCCTTCTCTGAGATAGTCTCCTTTTTATACTGCCTATATCTGGTATTTTCATAGTTATTTGCAAGTTGCTGTCTCCATTAGAAAGTGAACTGCTTAAGAGTAGGGAACTAAGCTTTTTCCTTTCCTTGAATCCCACGTTTAGGACAGTGCCTGGAACAAGCAATCAATCAATAAACATTTATTAATTGTCTACTACAGTAAGCAATTAATCAATGCTTATCGCCTTGTGACTGACTGCCTCTCCTCACACCTTCCACAGTTATTTATTTATTTTGGTTCTTTTTAATGCATGTATTGTGTAACATTGTTTACATAGTTATCTGTGCGGGTACTACATCTCCCTTCTAGACTATGAGCTCCCTATGGATGAGATATAGAAGGTATTTAATTGTATTTGTTGCTCTGACATATCCAGGCCCTAGCAGTGAATGCTGCAAAGCAGAAGTCAGTTCAGCATATCTCCATCCTTCCGTCTTCCTCTCCCAACCCTCCCAATCTCTTCTTGTCTCCCCCACAATTTTTGTCTTTCTTCCTTGTCTCCCACTCCATTTGTCTCTCCTTCTCTGCTTTATGGCTAGGGCCTTCCATGGCTCATGGGATTACCATCCAGGACAGATCTCCTGCACTCCTCCCTTCTCCCCAACCCTCAGACATCCCAAACCCTTCTTGACCTCTGCTTTTCTGTCCTCCTCAGAAGCTCCAGGATGACATCTAAGCATCTGCCTCTTGTCTTCCTCCTGGCCTGCCTGTGGTTCCTGGCTGTCTACTGCCACCTGGCTGAGGAAGAGAAATGGAGTAAGGACAAGGGCCTGGGGAGAAACTCTACCATGAACCTGCCTGACTTTCCTTCAGTCTCCATTGTGGGTGAGTAGCCCGGCCAGCCACCAGAGCGAGCGGGGAGCAATTTGTCTCTGACATAAAAATTAGAGTGGATGGGGCATGTGTGTGAACTCTTTTTTCTACTCCCTTATGGAAGACTTGCATTTATTTCATTCCCCTTTCCTCTGAGGTTTCCAGTGCCCTACTTCAAATGCAGCCCCCTGTCTCAAGTTCTGACCCTCGCTGTTCTAGATCGCGATGGTCACATCCATTCATCTATGGATTTGGAGCCACAGGACCTGGGTTCAAACACCTGTGTGATCTTGAGAAAATAACTTCTGAAATCCACTCTCTGCTTTTTATTCCTTATTAAAATGAGGAGGGGGGAACTAAATGATCTCTAAAGTCCCTTCGAGATCGAGAAATCTTATGGCCCCTTCTACTTAATGGCTACCTCCCCTGCCTTTCCTTCAGACCCTTATCAGTCCAAGTCCCCTACAGAGCCACAGATACATACAAATCCACAGAGCCATACTAATCAAACCTGGAGAAAAGTAGACAAATCTAATTCCCTTCTATAGCCAATGTTCAGAGTATGAGAGCTGGGCTTTGGAGAGGCCTTTGATTCTACCTGAAAAACAGGGTCTAGACCGGTGGTATTTCAGTAGGTCTATGAACTTGAATGGGGGTGGAGGTGGTGGGAAATGCAACGTTATTTCAATACAATTGGCTTTCTTTGTAATCCTGTTTATTTTATTTTATGTATTAAAAACATTATGTTGGGAAAGGGTTTATAGGTTTCACCAGACTACCAAAGGGGTCCATGACATAAAAAAAGTTAAGCGCTCTTGGTCTAGACAGTGTTGGGAATTGAGGGATTAGGGAAGGCATTCCCTAAAATCAGCTTTGAGTGTTCCACAAACTTCTTTGTCTCAGTTGTTCTCAGAACCCAACTAGAGGAAGGGGGCAATTGAAGAAATTTCCTTAGGCCCGGGGAGGTGGGGGAGAAATACCACAAGTAGGCTCCAACAAAGTTGTTCTGTCTAGTCTGTTAGACTTCCTCTGGCTTTCTCCTCCTTGTTTGTGATGCATTTACCCCAATCCATGGCTCTGGCTCTTTTAGGTCCCCTGGCATTGAAATGGTAATGCAAAATGTCTCCTCATCCCTGCCTCCAGCAGGCCACCTTCCCAGAGGCCTCCCTCTTCCCAATTCAGGCCCTGTCGGTCAGACATATCCTCTATTCTTTGTTTCTTTTGAAGCACTGAACAAAAAATCCAAGAAGATCATCAAGAAAGAGATAGAAACCAAGAAATCTTCTGAGGTAGGTGGGACTTCAGCAGCGGTGAAAGAGGGATGGAAGGGGGAGAGGTGGGAGAGGATGTCCATCCATCCCTGCTTCAGAATAACAACATGATGGACTGACTTGTGGATAGTCTGTATTCACAACACACTTTATACATAGTACTTCCTCTGATCCCCACAACGGTCTGGTGAAGTAGCAGGAGAGGGAGGTTTGGTGGGAGTAGGAGAGGGAGGCAGGGATTACTACCACCATCTTTCAGATACAGAACTGAGGCTTAGAAAGACTGACTTGCCTAAAATCATGACATTAACCATTGGATATGAGACTCATATTCTCAGGTTTTATGACTTGCTCTGTCCGGAATTCTTTTTGTGATATTAGGGTCAAATAACAACATAGCTCTCCACCCCCAGCTCAGGAAATATATCACTGCTTTAGAGGTGGAAAGGATCTTAGGGGTTGAGAGAAACGATTATATCTTTTTTTAATTTTCTTTTATTATATCTTTTATATTTAAAGTTTTGAGTTCCAAATTAGATCCCTCTCTACCCTCCCTCCTCCCTGAGATAGTAAGCAATAAGATATAGATTATACATGTGCAATTATGTAAAACATTTCCACATTAGTCAATTAACAACCAACTATTGAATTAGGACTAAGGTTTTTCCCCTTTTCTACTTCCTCATTCAGAAATCAGCCCCTGTAGGTTATTCAGGGCAGTCTTTGAAAACTCAAGTTTGTTCAAAAGGTAAAGACTTAAGTGAATTTATGTTTTACTCAAACAGGTCTGGGAAAAAGTGGATTCTTCTTTTTGTCAATTCTAGACAGGGTGACATTGGTATAGATAAGTCTCTTTGACCAAGACTGAGTGATCAGTCATGTCCCCCAGACCCTTATTAGAATAAGCTCATCTCTGGGGCAGCTAGGTGATGCAGTGGATAGAGCACTGGCCCTGGATTCAGGAGGACCTGAGTTCAAATCCAGCCTCAGACACATAACGTTTACTAGCTGTGTGACCCTGGGCAAGTCACTTAACCCCATTGCCTAGCCAAAAAAAATAAAATAAAATAAGCCCACTTCTCATAATATATTCATTCTCTTATTACTTGTTACACAATCAGAGTTGATTGCCACCCCCAGGAACACCCACTCTTCCAAGGACATATAAGCATTGAGTGGGTTTCACGAGGGGTTTTTAGCATGTGAGAGTGCCACTGACCCCTTTTATTAATTATTGCCAGCATGATTAATAAAATGATTAATTACCCCAAAACTATGTCTCTTGAACTTTTTATACATCACAGGGTATTTTGGAAATATCCAACAATTCATTGAAAAATTATTGCTACCAATCATACTTACCAACACACACAGACCTAGAAGGCAAAACTAAAGTTTATTATATGTTTCAGTATAGGACCAGAGTTCAGAAAATAACTCTGAACCCCAAACAGAGATTTGTGAAAATTTATATAGCCTCCAATTACATCAGAGACATGAAGAAGATTCTGACAGGAGAAAGTAAAGATTTACAGTACAACAATACACTTGTGGGATTTACGTTCCAAACATAACTGAAGAAGAAAATCACTATATCTAGTTTACCCAAAAATCACTAACCAGCGAGGACTCTGAGATTTACAACACAGGATGGGCATCATAAATTTTTACCCTCTCTGGATTTCTTATGAATGATCTAAATAGTAGTCTTAGGAAAAATCTCAGTCAGCTACTGACTTCACAACTGTGACTATCCTCACAATTAAAGTGGCTGTGCTGGACCCAAAATAGTAACAGAAGAAAAGGAATTCAAAAGTTCTTATGACAGAGGTCACCTTGTCTGACCCCTTCACTTTACAGATGGGGAAATTAAGGCCTAGAAAACTTATATAGCTGGCCCAAGGTCACACAGCTAATGAACAGTATAGGCAGGATTAGAACCTAGATCCTTTGTCATTAAGTCCAGGACTCCTACTACTAACGATTTCTTTAGCCCACAGCTCCTGAGAAAATCTCCAAGGCCCTCACAGATCCAGGTGATATAGTTCAAGACATGCCAAAATATCTTCCTGTCCCCAAAATATCTCCCTCCCAAGTAGACCTCATGTTCTACCATGAGTCATTTCTTTGGAATAAGGCATTGAGGACCTTATTAAAAACCATGCATTATGGGTAGTCCAGCACAGTATAAATTGTCTCAGGCTGGAATTAAAAAAACCTGGGCTCTAGTCCCCTCCTGTGTGACTTCCCTTTTTGGGGCTTCAGTTTCCACATCTCTAACAGAAGAGGGCCCTTCCAGCATTGATGGTCTGTGATTATAACCTAAGAAAAATTGGTGGAAGGGAAAAGAAACAGCAGAGTTATGGATTTGGAGTCCCCAAGGATGCCAGTTAAGTCCTGACTACTGTTGACTAGCTGTTTGACCTTGAGCAAATCACCTGACCTCTCCTCTCAGTTCAAGGGAGGAGAGCTGCAGAATGGGGTGGAATAATTTTCATAAAACCTGCTTCATTTGGACATTATAAAGGAAGCACTCTGTAAATCTCAAAGCCCTATTATGGAAATAAGAGTAACAGTAATTTATAATAAAAATAAAAGCAAAGACCTAAGCTGCTAACTGGGAAAAACCACCAGTTGGGGCCAGGCTGCATCAGGGAAGCTCCAGACTGGAGATGCTGGGATGACGGGGAGTGGGTAGATGGCGGGGATAAGTGGTGGGGAGAACACCTAAGGAGGGAAGCAGGAGAAGGCAAGCCCGAGGCTTAGTGGGATGGAGAAGGGGACTCTGAAGTCACTGGTTACCTCCTTATTCTCAGAAAAAGGCCCCGGTGAAGAAGAATCCTCAGCCCCCACCTCCAGCCAACTGTGTGGCCACCTGGGCCAACTGCCAGCCTCCGGCGTCGTCCTGCTGCCACCCGTGTGCTATATGCCACTGCCGCTTCTTCCGCAGCATCTGCTCCTGCCGCCTGTTCCGGCCCCACTGCTGAACTCCAGGCCTGGCCTCTGAGTGCCCGGGAGGGGAGAGGCTGGGGAACCCCCTCCCAGTGGCCTCCACGGCTTCCCCCATGGTCGTTCCATCCCGACCTGCTCAAGCAGGATCCCAAGGCGTCAGAAGCCCAGTTAGGCCTCCCCTGTGCTCACTTCTAAGTGGCTTCCCCCAGATGTAGCTGCTGTCTCAGCCTCATCTCAGGGCCCTGAATCCAAACAGAGAGGTTCCCAAGATGGCAGGGAAAATGGGGGCAATCCTGCCCCAAATCATGACAGTAACAGTGCCTGGTTTCAGGCCTGAGGTTTGTGCCCTTTGTCCCTTTGACCCCCATCGCCTCTCCTCCCAAACTCATATCTAGAATTGGGTATCTTACCTCCCATACTAAGATGTATGTGGCTGATAGCTTCAAGAGCTGCTGGCTGTGAGGGATTCCCATTTTACTATGATCATTTCATTCCCCCACCAAGAAACCCTGAACAGCTCCGTCCTGCCTACGAGATAAGGTCCAGACTCCTCAGTCCGTCTTACAAGGCCTTATCCCATCTATCCCCCAGTCACCGGATGTCTAAAGCTCCCCAATACTTTTTCTATCCTCTAGTCAAACTAAATCACCCAATCTTCTACATTTGCCATCTTTCCTCTTGCTCCTCCTCTAGAAAGCCTCTTCATTCTACCAGTCCCGTCTGAGGTGCCACCCCCTCCAGGAAGCCTTTCTTGATTTCCCTCAACCACACCGCCCTGTCCGCCAAGCTGGAAGTGGTCTCTTGTCCCCAGAAGTGTATTTCTTGTATAGCCTGAATCACTTCCTGTCTTGTCTTATTCTATTTGTATATATAGTTTATCTCCCTACTAGACTGTGAGCTCCTTGTGGGCAGGGACGACATCTCATTCTTATTCATTTCCTATAATGCCCAACACATAGCACTCCTTCAATAAATGTTATATTGAATTGACAGTGTAATGACTCTCTACTTGTAGAGTTTAGGGACATCCACTGGAATCCAAAGTCACTCCCTATTCATTATGGCAGCCTGACTTTCCCTGCCTTTAAAATAAAAGCATGGTGGGGAGGGTTAAAGGAGATAATTTCTAAGGTTCCTCCCAGCTCTGATAGTCTATGGTTCCATGAAATACGCAAAAAAGTCTGGTCAGGGAAGGTGACAAAACTCATGTTTGTTGGTCCAACAGCCAGGTAAAACTCCCACAATGCTGCCTTAGGAAACATATTTCAGCTATTCAAGATGCCCACAAGTGGTATAGACTGACTCACAAGGTAGTGAGATCCTCACTAAAGGCCAGATGATCATGTTAGGAATGCTCACAGGGGAGGGGAGTCCTGATCAGGCCAAGGCTAGACTTGAGAAGAGCATTGGATCTGAAGACATGAGATCTGGATTCAAATTCTGACTCTGCCATTTATGACCCAGGCAGCATGTAGTAGGAAAAAACGCCAGCTATTGATTTAGGATACCCAAGTTCAAACCCCAGCTTTGCCACCTACAACATATGTGATTACGGGCCACTTTCCCTCTCTCGTCCTCACTTTCCTCCTCTGTAGGGAGTTCAGATCTTTTAAGAATGAACTGAATACGAGTTCCCTTTCATTTCTGGCAACATCTGGAATGTGATGTGCAATTGTGTGGTCACCACATTTGAAAAAAGACCATTGATAAATTACACAGCATCCAAAAGTGGGTGGGCAAGATGGGGGGGGCACTTCAAGTCCATGTCATCTGAGGATCTAAGGAAAGAACTGATGTATGGCCTGAAGAACAGGCTCAGGCTTGTCTTCAAGTATTAGAAAGGCTGTCACATATAAGACAGATTGATTAGATTTGTTTGTTTGGTCCCAAAAGGACCCCAAAAAGCAGAACTAGGAGCAATGTGTAGGAGCTATAGGGAAGCAAATTTAGGCTGTTGTAAGAAGAAAAGTTCCTAACAATTAGTTATTAAAAAGTGGAATGAATTGCCCCAAGAGGTGGGAGATCTTCAAGCAGTATGGATGACTGTGATGAGTCTGTTACAGTGGAGGTTCTTTCAGGTATTGATTGGATCGCATAAGTGTTATTTCAGTAGTTTTTAGTTTTCTTTGCAATGCTCTATATTTTAGTTTATATGTTTAAATGTGAAGCCTAGGCTGCTCTGAAAAGAGGTCATAAGCCACAGCAGACAGCCAAAGGGACCTAGGCTACAAAAAACAAGCTCCTAGAGTTAAGAGCTCCTGGACTGGATGGTTGATGAGGCTCTGCTGAGGTTTAAGGGTGCTAGGACCTCAGAATCACAAGCGGGTCTTGCCTGAAAGAATTCAACCCAAGCCTTCTTTCAGTCAAAGACAAGGTTTATTAGAACCTGCGCCATATTGGCCAGACTGTTAGAGTCTGAATGTTCATGAGCTATTGGCTAGATTATAAGAATCTTATTGAGTATCTTAATGGAGACAAGATGGATCTTATACACAGAAAGACCATGAGGCCAGTTGATAGGATTACAGCCTCAGGCAAACGACAGATATTTGGCCATGTGGGAAAGTCCAGGGTTTTTCCTTTTTGGGGTCTAGATCCCATTCTCATCAGTTCCTTCCAATTCTAAAATCTGGTGATCCAGAGGAAAAAACAAAAAACAGACCCAGGTTGGAGGGAGCCTGGACTGGGTGGGAATCAGGAGCCCTGGGTTAGTGCCCACTCTGCCAGTAACTCACAAAGCCGGTCAAGTCCCTTCCTCCCCCACTCCCATCCCAGATCATTTTCTTCCTTTGTAAAATGATAAAAAACATCTGCTTTACATTTTCCAGATGCAAGATACACTATGTCTGATCTTTGTACCAGACAAGCGCCAGCGCTTCCTGTGGTGTTCTCATTAGGCCGTCAGCCCCCAGGGTTGTGACTGTGTTCTGGGACCATCGCGGAGGAAATGTCATTAGGAGTGAGAACATAGTTAGCGCTGTGGCCACTGACCCTGCTCCCTATGGGGAAGGAGAAGACCTTATTGGGTACTATTTGTCTGAGACACTGAAAACCACAAACTCAAACCCAAGTGCCTGTTGCCTAGATGTTATCCTCCAGCGAAGAAAGTAGTTTCCCACTGATGGGATACTCAGATAAGAGGTGCCTCCTTCTTTCTGTTCAGTCCTTTGGCAAAGTCGCTATTTTTCTTAATTTTTCCTTCAGGCCAAGTGAGTCAAGTAACTTGCCTCAGTTTCCTTAATCTGTAAAATGACGATAACACCTAAAGGATTTGATGTGAAACTCAAAAGAACTGTCTGAGGGGAAAAATAACAACTCCCCCTTCTGTGTATTTCCATGGCCAAGATCTGTGCCCGGCACATACTAGGCACTTAATTCCTGCAGGGAACTAAATTGATAGAGCCCTGGGCTAGCGGTTAGGGGCCTTGAGCCCAAGCCCCTGCTCTGCATACTGTAAATACTACGGTCTGACTGTCAAGAGCAATGGTGAATATGAAGTCAGAAGGCCAGGGCCCTGGCAAGTACCAGTCATTTGGCTGAGGCTCAGGTTAAATGTCCTGGCCACAGTAGCCTCACACAAAATGGAGATAACAGCTGCCACACAGGGTTGTTGTGGGAAAAGCTCTTCCCATATTGCCAAAAAATGGTATGGTTACTTTATGGGAAGATGGGAAACACAACAGGAAGTGATTGATCTGTCTAACTTATCACTGCAAGGCCATGGAAGTGCCAGGAGCCTAACCCAGGTTACTGATTCCAACGGAAAGGCAGGAATTTTTCCATTACCTTGACTTCAGTACTGCTTAGGGCCAAGACTTCCAGGTTCTAGCCAGAGGAGGGAAAGGCACAGGTGTGGGCAGGGGGAAGTGTGGCAGAGTGGAAGGAGCAGTGAATTTGGGTGTTAGACAACCTAAGTTGAATCCTGCCTCCCGTTGCATTTAGGCCAATGGTTCTCAAAGGGTGGGTTTGTGAGAACTATAAGGAACTTAGATTTGCAAATCCCATGCATGTCTGAGAGTGGCCTGACTCTCCCATTCCTCATGGCAAAGAATAAGACTTTGCTGTGAGTAAAAAGTTTGACAATCACTGCTTTAGGCTAATCATGTTATCTCTAAGGGCCTTCAATTTCTTTAGTTACAAAAAAAGGGGGAGAATGGGAGGAAAAAGACTGGATTAAATGACCCCCCCCCCCAGTTCTGTTGTGAGGGCAATTTACTAGATAACCTCTAAAGTCCTTTTTTTAATTTTTTTAATCCAGTGATACTGCCCCATTAGAGAAACAGCAATTGCTTTTCTAAATGCTCTCCTTGGGACAAGCGGCCCTAGGTGAACCTTTCTGAACACCTAGAAACCCAAAAACCTTAGCTCAGACACTGAAGATAAGTGAGAAGGGCTGGGCCACCCAGCAGGTTGGCACTGAATGGTGCCAGGTTGGCTCCCCCCACCTAAAGGCTGGGCTGGATCAGCTTACACTTCCAAACTCAAAGCAATACAAAATTTCCACAAACCCTGAGGCCTTCTGGGCTCTGCGCCTACCTGTAGGGCCACACATTGTTTCCCTTGGAATTCCCACAGCACTGGTACTGCCCACAGGACTCCTATCATTCAGGTTAGCAAAGAGTGGACACAGTTCACAGCCAAGACCTTCTTAGTGCAAAGGGACCCCATGGGATAGGGAGGGCAAAATTCTTCCCCCACCTTACCTGATTTGGCAGCATACCTCTACCCACAATTATCAACAGGCACACAGCACAGCCCTCCTCTCAAGTGGCCCTCATAACAGAGCTGGGAGGAAGGCATTTGAATGGTTGAGTTTAGGATTATCCCAAGATCACAGATTTAGAGCTGAAATCAACTTTAGAAAGCAAGGCATAGGTAGGTAGTAAGAAGCTGGCAAACTGAAGCACAAGCAGAAAATGGCACCTGGGCAGATCAGAAGCCTGAATCCAAGGGCATGAGTTGAATAGAGGAGGGTTTGCTGCAGTGAAGGTAAGTGGGCCATGATAATACCTGGCTCCGAGCATGTGAAGAGCTATCATGGGGAAGGGGGATTTGACTTGGCCCACAGGGCAGCACAAGAAGCCACTGGTGGGTGGAAAATACAAGAAACAATTCAACTGGCAACAAAAGAAAATCTTGCTGATGATGGGAGCTGGCCAAAAGTGTAATGAATGGGCTATTTGCAAGATGGAGTGTTTTCTACTGCTAGAAAAAAATCTTCAAGCTGGAGCTGGGTAATCGCCTGCAGAATATTCCTAGTCATGGATGGGTTGGACAGATGATTGATGAGGACCTTTCCAACATTGAGATTCTGTGATGCCCAGAATGAGGAAGCATCACAGGCTGAAAAGCTGATCTAGAGTTCCTAGATCAGCTAATCCAACCTCCTTCATAAATGAGGAAAACTAAGATCCAGAGAGAGGAAGGGCCATCCAACTAATATGAGTAGTAGGGTTGGGATTGGGATCTCTATTCCTAGGAAACATATACTATCTAGGATCACAGGATTTAGAGCTGACAGGACCCCCTGGCTCCCATTCTGCCGATGAGTAAACTGAGGCTGACAGTGTGAAAGTCTTGCCCAAGGCTGTGCAGATATTAAACATCAAATTTGTTTTCAGTTGTTTCAGTCTCAGAGACTCTTTGTGACTCCATTTGGGGTTGTCTTGGCAGACATACTGGAATGGTTTGCCATTTCCTTCTCCAGCTCATTTTACTGTTGAGGAAACTGAGGCAAACAGGGTTAAGTGACTTGCCCAGGGTCACACAGCTAAGTAAGTGTCTGAGGCCATATTTGAACTCGGGTCTTCCTGACTCCACGCCCAACACTGACCACCTAGCTGCCCTTCAGCATCAAAGCTAAGATTCAAATCCTGGTCACCAGATTTCACATTTAGTGCTCTCTTCTTTACACTAAGCTGCCTCCCACCACTCCTACCCCAGCCCTCCAGCACCGGAACTGAGTGCTGAGAAAGTGCTTTCCTCCTGTCCTGATGAGGAAAGGGAACCCCCTGCCCCAACCACAGAACACAAGACCAAGCCAGAGCAGCCTTTGAGGCGGCTTAGGTGACAGTCTGCAGAATGGGAGAGGCCTCTAGACCGACCCTCACTTTACAGATGAAACAAGGGTTTAACAGACCTTCAAGTCTACCTCACTTATGGAACGCATGGGAAAATTAAAGAGGAGGGGAGGGGTGAGCCCCCAAAGCACAAGTTAGTGGCATCAGCTGGTTTTGTATCTGAACCAACTCAAATGAACTCTCAAAAGAGATCATCCCCTTGCCCTGGGTTCCCTCCCTTCCCTTTCACCGACACTGTCATACTTTTCACTGCGTCACTTGGGACCTGTTTGAGTGTGGTTTCAGGGGTGGGAGCAGAAAGGAATCCAATCTGAACGGGCATCCTGATCACAGGAGAGCTCTTAAACGCAGAACATTAAATCAGGAAGGGACCTAGCCTCAGTTCTCACCCCCAACCCTGCTGTAAAATGGAGGAATCTTTAGAATATCTGAAACAGAAGTGTTAACTGTTGTCAGAATGTAGTGAACATCCCAGATACCTGGAAGCTCAGCCCTATTGGATCTAACCATGGCTAGAGGGAAAAGGGGCCTCACTTAGATCCCTCCCAACCCTGTTTCCTCAAACAGAGGACAATGATCCTACCTTTATAGTCAGTCAGTCGCTTGTAAAAAGCTGTTCTGATCGCTTAATTGCACTCCATTGCCTCCAGCTGTGTCCAGCACTGACCTCTCACCCTCTTTTCTCAACTGCCCAAGCCCAAACTGCCACAGCACCAAACTGGTAGAACACAGGACATAAGCAGAGATAATTCCACTGCCTTCTCTCTGTTAATTATTTCCTATTTACCCTGGTATATAGCTTGTTTTGTATATATTTACTTCCATGCTGGCTCCCTCATTAGACTGTGAGTTCCTTGTGCCTCTTTTTGTATCCCCAGCGAATAACACAGTGTCTGGCACATAGCAGGCATTTAATAAGTGTTTGCTGATTGAATGATAATAAGCTGACTTCAGGAGCTGGGAAAACCAAGCACACTGATGCTGTGTGGGCTGTGGAAAACACTCTGACCTAGAAGCAAGGAGACCTGGTTTCAGCCACTAATGGGGCATAAGCTGGGCACGCCACTCCTTCTCCAAGTCTGTTTCCCCATCCACAACAAGATAAAGTTGGAATAGATATTCTCCATGTCCTTTTGAGAGCTAACATCCTAAATGCTGCCACAGTGCAAACTGTCTAGGAGTCAGAGGTCTAAGGTCAGAGACTACAGGCCCGATTTGTAGCAGACTGCGCAGGACACAGTCTCTTCACAGTTCAGGGTAGGGATGCCAGGCTGGGCTTGTGAGGCAGCTTGTTTCCTTGGTTGCTTCCTCTTCCTCCCACCCCCTCACCCCAACACCGGTGCAATGCTAGACACAAACATGATCCAAAAAAAAGCCAGGCTGGCTGGCAGCTACGGGGATGACACAGCAGAGATGCCCTTTATTACTCTGTGCAGGAGGGGCTGGAAAGGCCAGAAAATGTGGTTGGTCACTGGGAGTCTTTGAGCTGGGCAGGACTCAGTACCGGTAGTGGTCAGGTTTGAAGGGGCCCTCTGTGGAGAGGCCCAGGTACTTGGACTGTTTTTCTGTCAGCTTTGTTAGCTTCACATTCAGTTTGCCAAGGTGGGCCTCAGCCACAGCTTCATCCAGCTGTAAGGGGAGAACAAGAGAATGTGAGCCCTGTGTCCCAGAGCCCCAACCTTGGGCTCCTTGACTAGGCTGGAAGGGTACGATCTCTCTCAGATCCACCCCCTTCTCTCCACACAACTACCACTCTTGTCTAGCTCCTTATCACCTCTCACCTGGACTACTGCAGTAGCCTCCTAATGGGACTCCTTGCTTCAAGGCTCTCCTTTCTCCATTCCAACCTCCATACTGTTGTGAAAGTGATTTTCCTCAACTGCAGATCTGATCACACCACATGCCCATATTCAATAAAAACTCCAGCAGCTCACCAGGATCAAATACAAACTCCTCAGTTTGGCATTAAGCCCTTCACAACCTGGCTCAACCTACCTTTCCATCCTTATTACATTATAATATATACTATTATATTTGTTGTTGTCATTCAGTCATTTTTCAGTCATGTCCAACTCTTCATGACCCCATTTGGGGTTTTCTTGCAAAGATAATGGAGCGGTTTGCCATTTCCTTCTCCAGCTTATTTTACAGATGAAGAAACTGAGGCAAACTGGGATAAGTGAAGTGCCCAGGGTCACATAGCTAATAAATGTTTGAGACTGGATTTGAACTTGGGTCTTTCTGACTTCAGGCCCAGCGCTTTATCTACTGTGCAACCTAGCTGCCCCTCTCCACCAAAAAAAAAAATCATTTTGCATATACTTTTTATATACATGTGCATGGGATGGGCAGAAGGTCCTTGGGAGCAGCGACTATTGTTTCTTTTTTTTCTTTATGTATATGTGGCACCCAGCACAATGCCTGACACCGAGCAGGTGCCAGTAAATGCTTGCTGACCGAGAAAGGCCTGGCTCAGCTACTTCCAAAGCACAATCTGGCTCCCCAGAGAACTGGGTAGAAACTAATGGGGAAGACAAGCCTTCCCAACCCCCAAGATGAAAAAGGTGCTGGGGGCAGTTGGCCAAAACCAGGGACAGAAGACAGCTAACTGCAAACAAGAAGGCGGCCCAGTTCCATACTGGGTAAGGCTGGGCAGGGACAAGTACAGAAAAGACTTTTCCCAAAGCCAAATTACTCAAATTAATTACATACTCCAGTCCAAGCCTACTGCAGGCACTTAATAAATTCATGCTGGGGCAGCTAGGTGGCACAGCGGATACAGCACCGGCCCTGAAGTCAGGAGGACCTGAGTTCAAATCCCACCTCGGACCAAACACTTGACACTTACTAGCTGTGTGACCCTGGGCAAGTCACTTAACCCCAATTGCCTAAAAAAAAAACCAAAAAAACAAAAAAATAAATTCATGCTGAATTCAGAACTTGAGGTGCAAAGAGACCGAGGCCTGGAGTAGGCAGAGTTTTGTACCCTTCTCCTAAACCTGCCCCTATCTTCTGGTATGACCTAAGGCAAGTCCCTCACCCTATGTGAGCCTGTTTTCCTCTTTTATAACACTGGGCTTGAGTGCCTGCTAGGTAGGACAGCAGATAGAGACTACAGGGTGTCAAAGGCTCCTTTCAGCTGTGTCAGAATCGTCTGCCTGGGGGCAGGAAAACAATCCACAGTAAAGAGCCACCCAGAGAAGCCTGAGTATGTGGCTGGCCTGGGCCACAATCTTGCCTGTTTCTCTTTAGGAGCAAGCATCTGCATGACACTTTGCACTCATCAACAGCCTCCCCTGTTATCCCATCTGTTTCTCACAGAGTGGCCTCCTCTTCAATGAATAAGAGCTGAGGAAGAGGAGTGGGGAAGAGACACCAAAACCCATACAGAAGAAGGGATTAGCTCAAGGTCACACAGCAAGAGTCAGGACTACAATTTGGAAATCCTGATGCTCAGGGATGTGATGGGGGAAAGGCCAATGAGAAGTGACAGGAAGCTATCCAGTTTGGTCTAGATGTGTCCCCCAGACCCTCCACACCAAAGCCACTGACCTTCTTGGGGAGGAAGTGTACTCCCACAGGGTACTTGTCCGGATGGGTCCACAGCTCAATCTGGGCCAACACCTGGTTGCTGAAGGAATTGCTCATGACAAAGCTGGGATGGCCCATAGCACAGCCCAGGTTGACCAGACGGCCTTCTGCCAGCAGGATGATCCGTCGCCCATTCTTCAGCTTATAGCGGTCCACCTGGCCGGGTGGGCAAGAGAGGTGAGGGCTGGAGGCCAGGAATGGACCTCCCTCTTCTTTCCCCTCACCAACAATACCCCTGTATCCTCTACCCTCCAAAAATCACAGAAACTTAAGACTAGAAGGGGCCCCAAAGGCACCTAGGCCTAACCACACTTAAATAGGAATCTATTGTTGACAGAATAGTCAACAAATGGTCATCTAGTCACTTGTCCAGCCAAGTACCTCCTACTCTGCCCCTGTCTCTGCCCACATAAATGCCTCATTCTCCCTTCTTCCCTCCCTCTGGCTCAGTCTCCCAGGGATGGGCAGAGGTGGTAAGGGCCAGTGCCAAGTCACTCCAGGGCTAAAACTACACACAAAAAAAGGAGGCAGCCCAACGGATGAAGCCAGGCCAGAGGGAAGTTTGGGTGGGCTGAGGACAGAGCCAGGCACTATGGGTCCCTGGACTTCTGCCATTCACTAGTAATCACCAATTTGCCTTTGCTATTGCTCACACATGCACATGTATACCACTATATGCAAAGGTGTGTATCAGACATTGGGGGATGGGAGAAGGCACTAGACGGCTTTCCTCCAACCCAAGAAAGATCCATGTGGTCTTGGAGGCCATGGCAGTTCAAGGAGGTTGAAGAAATGTTCTCCAGTGAGTTATCAGCAACCAGGCTCAACACTGTATAGTCCCTGTCTCCCTTCCCTCAACTAATGCATCCATCGAGAACAGTGACCCTTTCTGTCAGTGTCTCTTTTAAGTGGACCGGGGGCAGAGAAAGTAGTTCTACATGGTTGTGTGTCAGTATGCAGGAGTGTTTCAGCACAAGCTCCAAAAGGGAAGGAGAGCTTGCAACCCCAAGGAAGGGAAGGCCAGGGCTTCATAGCAGACACACAGCTCTAGTCTTAAACAACTGAAACCTCCCCCCAGCTTCCATCCAACCCCAACTCCCTTAATACTAGCCAAGGACAACCTCGGCTCCACCCTCTTCCCACCTAAACCACAGTGCTGTGGGAAGGTCCTTCCATCTCTTTTCTCCAGAGCCTAATGTCACAGGATTCCAGATCTGGAGCTGGAAGGGACCTTCCAGGAGATCCAAGCTCTCATTTTACAAATGAGGAAACTGAAGTCCAAGGAAGACAAATGACTTGCCCAGGATACCATAAGGAGCAGTATCAGAAGTGGGACTCAAATTCAGACCCTCTGACTCCAGAGCCCATGCCATCTCCATTGTGTCATACTTTTCCTCTGCCTCAGACCCGAACCTTGCACACTCCAGAGCTGGCTTACCCACCCAACCACCAGACAATACACAAAGAACCCACTGAATCCCCATGCCCAGGCCCTCACCTGAGGCTTCACGTTCACTTTCTCCACAGAATTCTGATTCAGCCACTGGACATCTATTTCCACATCAAAGTGGCCTATGTTACACACTATGGCGTCGTCCTTCATCTGCTCAAAGTGCCTGTGGTGGGGGTAGGAAACAGGGGCCACAGGGTGAGGGGGAGGGGGAGCGGGAGCAGAAGCTAAGGAACAAAGCAGGCAGGAACTCTTGGCTGAAAGGGAAGAGAAGCAACAGAGCAAAGGGAATGCCTGAGGGCCCAGGGAAGGACAGATGGAAGGGAGGGAGCAATAAAGGAAGCATGCAGGAGTGTTGGGCCAGAAGGAAAAATACAGAGTAGGACAGGAAGAGGTAGGGGAATGTACAGGGAGATGGGCAAGGACACTGGGAGGACAAATGGAGGCCCCCCCCACAAGGAGCTGGGCCCCACCTGCCCAAGATGATGTCTATGCATCCCGTGGTGGTGACAAAGATGTTTCCCTCTTTGCAGGCCTCATCCATGGTGGTCACCTCGTAACCTGAGCACAGACACACACATACAGACATTAGCCCTGTGATCACCCTTGAGGACCCCAAGTCGTGACCCTCACAGCCTCTTCTGGCCCCTTACTCACCCTCCATAGAGGCCTGCAGTGCATTGATAGGGTCTATCTCGGTGATGATGACCCGGGCACCAAAGCCCCGAAGAGCCTGAGCACAGCCCTTGCCCACATCACCATAGCCTGCCACCACAGCCACCTTGCCTGCAATCATCACATCTGTGGCTCGTTTGATGCCATCGATGAGGGACTCACGGCAGCCATACAAGTTGTCAAATTTGCTCTGAAGGGAGGTAAAGTAAGGAGGAAGCAATCCCCCCATGGACACCAGGAAGCTTTTATTGTGACCCTCCCCAGCTCAAGAACTCAGAAGGACTCCCTATTGCCCTCCAGATCCAGGAGCCCTAGATTCTAGGTCCAGTTCTACTATTAGTATGATATGGCCTTTGGTAAGTTACCTCCCTCTCTGGGCCTCAGTTTTCTCATTTCTAAGGTCCCTTCCAACTCAAACATTCTGTGATTTTATAAATCTCAGAACGTCTAATTTCCTAATCTATAAAATGGGAACATCAGTAACTAACAACATACATTCTAAAGCACTTTAAGATTTACAGAGCACTTTTATCACAACCACCCTGTGAGCCAGGCAGTGCAAGTATTTTGATCCCGTTTTTACAGATGTGGAAACAAACACAGGGTTCATGTGCCTTGTCTCTGCTCACAGGGCTAATAAATCACAGGATCATAAGATCACAGATTTAGAGCTGGAAGGAACCTTAGAAGTCATCCAATCCAACCCCCTCATTTTACAGATGAAGGAACTAAGGCCCAGAGTGGTTAAGTGACTTACCTAAAGTAACACAGCTAGCATGTGACAGAGTGGGAACCTGTATATAAATTCAAGTCTCATGGACTCCAAGTCCCACACTGTCTACTACATCATGCTGGTCCCTAGGAACTACCACCTCACCTGGCCTGCCTACAGGGCCGTTTCTGAGGCTCAAATGAGAATGAATAAATAAATGTTCTATACAATATGTATATAGTATTATATATATATGTGTGTGGATATAAACTATCCTGAAAACCATAGAAGGGCCCTGTAAACTAAATCTTACGCTGAACAATGTGAGTGTGGTTACCTGAGCCTGGCAAATGGTACACTCTGGGGCAGGGGTGGAGAGGCTGCTGAGTCCCTGGAGAGGAGGGGATTTGAAATTCAGGAGAGGATAGTAGTACCTTAGTAACAGAATCATTCACATTGATGGCTGGCACTTTCAGGACTCCATTGACCTTCATCTTGTACAGATTGTGGACGCCTGTGGTGGTTTCCTCTGAGATGCCTCTAATGCCTGAGCCAAAGGATGCTCCATTAGGACCAGTCCCCTACAATTCAAGCCCTCTGGAGCCACCCTTAATTAAATCCCCATCACCATTTAACAGGTGTCACCTTGCTTATAGCCTGCAGTTTGGGAGGGTGATGGTGAGAAACGGACTCCCTGTAGTCCTTCCACCATCATAGTCCACCCCTGAGGGAGGGGGGAAGAAGGAAAAGCCCAGCAGTGAGGAAAGTCAACACTGCTTCCGCACCCTCCCACCTCTTCCCCCAAGTGAAGTCATTTCATGTGGTACTAGTGTAGGTGGAGGAAGTCTCATGCCTTTCTATCTTCCCTAGAGCTCCTCCATTCACTGTGTTGCCAGGAAACCATGGCTTGGAGTCAAATATTCTCATTTTTTTCGGACTTTGAAAATGAAGCTAAGAGGGAGTTTTGAGATGATCTAGTCCAGCACCCTTATTTTAAAAAGGAGGAAACTGAGACCCAAAGTCACACAGCAGATTACTAGCAGAGTCAAGACCTGGACCCCTGCTGTCCTGATTACAAGTCTATTCCTCTTCCCACTTCACCATTCTCCCTGCCCCTCAAACCTGTATCTCAGGAGCAGTCAGGGATCACCCAGTGGCTTAACAAAGGCCACTGCTTTTTCCTTTCCATAGGGTATATCTTTATTAACAAGGAATAATAAGGTCTCAGCCCAACGACATACAGCTCTAAGAGTGGACTTTCAGGTATTCGTGGTGGGTGAGGTACATGGGGGAAAGGTTCCTGGGAAGGAGCACTCCCTGGCCCCAAAAAGCAGTAAATCTCTGATCTATGGTCCAGATGACCAAAACAGGAGAAACACCTACGTCAGCTCCAGGTCACCAGATTTTTCTCCCCAGTCACCCAATCCAAGCATTTTTTAAATTGTATATGGCCTCACCCAAAGTCCCTCAGGCCTGAGGCTGAGGAAAGGGGCCTGGATCAGGGTTATTTGGGGAAAGGAATCCAGGATCCCAACATTCCTACACATAGGGTGCCCCACCATTGCACCCCAGCCTCAACTCCAATCTTAGATATTTACCCTTTCAATTCTTCCTGGACAAACTCCAGAAAAAAAAGGAGGTCCCTATTCTAGAATGGAGACCCAGACTCCAAACTGAGATCAGGCCAGAACCTGAGCGGTGCCCTTCCTCCCTCTCTGCTCTAGGCCCCAAGAACTTGAGATAATAGCAGTGTCCAGAATAAAACTTCCCAAGGCCATTAGGATGGTTCCTCCCTTTCTCCCTCCCACTCTAGCCTCAGGGGAGGCTTAGCATGAAGACGGCTCTGTGTGGGAGGAGGCTCCCCAGGAAAAGCACCCCCAAGGGCTCCACTATGAGCTGTCAGTTCACCATCCTGCTCCACAGGAGGGCAAAGCCCGGCCATACTAAACTCTGCTCAGGACCAGGTGCACAGACTCCACTTTAGGCCTTGCCCTGATTTCCAGGGGGAAAAAATGGCTCCTTGAGTTTCCTTTCATAGGATCACAAAAAAGGAAGAGAACTTTTACATTATCCAGTCTAACTCTCCCAATTTACAGATGAATAAACTAAGCACAGCTAAGGAAAATGACTAGTCCAAGGTTACTGAGCTAGTAACAAAGCTGGAATTTGAATTCGGTTCTTCCAATTCCATTTTCAGGGTTCCTTCCATTGTTTAGTACTGTACTACCTTTGGGAGGGTTGAAAAAGCCACCGTTTTCCTTCCAAGGGCCAAAAACAGCCATTGAGGCCTCCTTATCGGGGAAACTCTGACATCCCCCAGCCACCCTTCCTCGGTGAAGCCAAGGTTTCTGGGATTGGCAGCCTCTTCCCTAACCAGACTCCCTAGAAGAACCCATACGCCACCCCTGAACACCTCCAGCATTCTACCCTTGTCGATCCCCATGCCCCCATGTTCCTCCTTACCCTTTAGGAGCTCAGGGTATTTGGTATGAATAAGGTTGGTGAGGTCCCCACCATCATCCAGGATCATGTTGAGGGGCTGCCCATCCTTGAAATAGAGGGTCTGCTCGATGCACCAGAGGTATTCCTCATCAGTCTCCCCCTTCCAAGCATACACTGAGGCAAGAGTGGGAGAATGAAGGTGAGGAATTCAGTACAATTGACCAAACATTTGAGTGCAAAAATACTCAAGTACCTATGCTCAGTACAGGAAGCCCAAAGCTAGAAACACGGCACAGGCTGGACCCTCAAGGAGCTTACAATTGACAGGTTGAGGACACAACATGTACACAAATAAGAATGCTATAAGGAAGCACGTGATGCAGGTAGAGAAGAGATCAAGACAAAGTGCTCAGGGGCAGCTAGGTGGCGAAGCGGATAGAGCATCAGCCCTGAAGTCAGGAGGACCTGAGTTCAAACCCATTCTCAGACCAAACACTTGACACTTACTAGCTGCGTGACCCTGGGCAAGTCACTTAATCCCAATTGCCTAAAAAAAAAAAAAACAAACAAAACCAAAGTGCTCTAGGGAAACTTGAGGAGATAGAACTTTCAGCTGGGGCATCAAGGAAGATGTTACTTACACTTAAGTAAGGTCCTCAAGGAAAAGGAGGATTTCAGCAAATGGAGATGAGGACAGAAAAGGGGTCCAGGCCTGTGTGAAGGTGGGCAGGGCGAGATTAGGGGAAAAACAACAGTCCAGTTTGTCTGGAGCACAGAAGACAGGTAGGAGAATGGGATGAGACGAATCTGGACAGGGAGATTATGGAGAGCCTTGGATACAAACTACTGTCAGACATTTTTTTATTCTACAGGCATAAGGAGCAATTAAAGGAAGAATCAGAGCCAGGCCTCATACACAGCCCACCCAACTAGTGGCTGGCACCAGGAGAACTCTGATCTCCTGGGCCCTGACCTCCAGATCAAGGGACAGAGGGAGCTTTCCCACCAGGGACCTCCCTCCAGTTCTAAGCCAGGCTCCCAAGAGTAGAAGAGGCACAGTATCTCCCCAAGGAAACTTCGTATCCCCAGTACTTCTTTCTTTGACTTTTCTAGCAGTATCAGAGACCTATGAGAAGAGGCCAAGCCAGGGGGGAATTCTCCACCCAGCTCAAATCTAAGAACCAAGGACTGCCCTGGTCAGCCCCAAGGAAGAGCTCCTGGGTTCCTGAATACAGGGCTTAACCACCTCTATAGCTGTTACAAAAAGTCTGTGTTGGGGGATCGGGGGTAGGGTGGGGTAGAGAGAAGAGTAGAGAAGAACCAGAGAATAGTTGTAATATCAGTTAGCATTCATGTTGTGCTTTAAGGTTTGCAAAGCACTTTACATGTGTTATATAAGACACCACCAAGAAAGAAGCTCATGGAGGGAAAGTGGATGGCAGGTCATGATGCCACCCCCTATTTCAGTGCACACACAGGAGACTTCTGACCCAACCATGGTCTGGGAAAAAGGCATTGCAAGGCATCAGCTTTCCTGTTAGCTCAGCAGAGGGACCAAACTACTAATGTCGCAAACCCTGGGCAAAGGGCAAAAAAGAAACATTCTGCAAATAAAGCTTTTTCCTTCTAGTTCAAAGTCCAGTGCCTCAAAGCACAGAGATGGAAAACCAAAAAGGGCTGCCCAATGTACACACCTCCCACACCAGGGCAGGGGTTGGGAATCAAAAGCACTTCTGGCTCCTTTCTGCTCTGACATGTCTAAGGCAGCCTCCTCACCCTCCCAAGCATCTCATCAGCCTCTCTTTGCTCAAGGCCATTAGCCTCAGACACAGAACTCTGCCTATGCTAAGCCACACTTACAGACAGAGAAAATGAAACACCACTGTTTTCTTCCTACTCTGAGAGAGCCTCACCCAGATCTGAGCAGAGCAGGGACCTGATACCTTCTCATCAGAAGGTCAAATGAAAGCCTAGATTTGTTTCTTATGGTTTCACCCAGGCTCTCTAATTTCCCCATGGGCTCGACAGTCATCATTAATATCAATACAGTACCCCTCCCACCCATCCCTCCAAGAAACATTCCCACTGTCACGGACCAACTTCCCCTGGCCACTCCAATCCTACTTCTTTCACAGAATCATATGGCCCCTGGAGAGGGTCAGCCTGGCACAGCAAAAAAAAAAAAAAAAAAAAATGCTGGAATTGGAGTTAGAGGATCTAAGTTCAAATCCCAGATCTGGCTCTTGCTACCTGGGATATCTGGGGTGTCACTTAACCTGGCAAGGCCTCAGTTTCCTCATCTGTCAAAGAAAGGGGGTGGCCCCTGAGGTCCCTTCCAGTTCTATCCAATGATCCTATGACCTATGCCCTCTCACCCCACCCCCAGTCTCATGCCACGGCAGGAGTCCCTTGAATGGCATCTCCAAAGTTATCAGCACCACTATCTACTGAGGCAGTTCTAGATGACTTGTGTAAAGCACTATATAAATGCTATTATTCTTAAGAAGTTCTTCCTTCAACCCTATCATAATCTGCATCCCTGTAACTTCTCTCCAGTTGGTACTCATTATTCTCTCTGGACCACACAGAATGAGCCTGTGGCCTCTTCCATGTGCTTAAGCCCTTTAAGTAGCTGAAGTCTTCCCATCCTGGAGGCCTTTTCCTCCAGCTCCCCGCTACCCAAGAGTCCCTGGCCTAGGTGTGAGCTACACTCACAAGAGGACTTACCAGGAATTCCAGTTTTGGCAATGGCAGCTGCTGCGTGGTCCTGGGTGGAGAAAATGTTGCAACTGGACCACTGTACCTGCAAAAACCAGGAGACAAGGGGTCATTCACAAAAACAGAGAATAGCAGCCCAAGGTCAATGTAGTGAAGTCAACTTGAACGGAGGCCAAAAGAGCTATCAATCAGTATACATGATGGGTCCAGAAGGTCAACTCACAGCAGGGGTCCCTGGGTTGAGAGTCAGGAGAGCAGGTTTTAGTCCTGATTGCCAGTATTGTGTAGCCTTGGGCAAATCACTTTCCCTTTTCTGAGGACAAAATGGGGTTCTTTTTTTTGGGGGGGGTAGTTGGGGTTAAGTGACTTGCCCAGGGTCACACAGCTAGTAAGTGTCAAGTGTTTGGTCTGAGGCCGGATTTGAACTCAGGTCCTCCTGACTCCAGGGCCGGTGCTCTATCCACTGCGCCACCTAGCTGCCCCCCAAAATGGGGTTAATTCTTGCCCCACTTATATCACATACTGTTGTGAGGAAATCTCACAGTGGCAGCAGTGTAGGGGCAAAAAAAACCCAAAAAACCAAACTTGTCATAACAAGTATAAATGCCTGTACAAAAGAGAGAGATCATTCACCTTTATAGATTTAGAGATGAAAGGGATATCAAAGGCTAACTAGTCTAACTTTTACAGTCAAGGAAACTGATGGCCCAAGAGATCAACTGACTTCCCCAAGATCACACAGGTGGCAAATGTCAGAGCTGAGATTTGAACCAAGGTCCCTCTGGCTCCAAATCCAGCACCCTTTCTGCTGTACCTCGGCATGGAATAGAGAGGTCACTGTCCATGAAGGCCTCCAGAACTGCCTGAATCAACCCCAGCCCCATGTATTTCTGCTCCCAGATCCCATTGCTGGCTCCTCTGATGCTCCGTATGGACTCACCTCGGCTCCCAGGGCCACCAGGGTCTCAATAAGAACAGCTGTTTCCACGGTCATGTGGAGGCAGCCAGCAATCCGGGCACCCTTCAGGGGCTTGGAGGCTGAGTACATCTCTCGAAGTTTCATCAGGCCAGGCATCTCATTCTCTGCTATGTCCAGGGCCTTGCGTCCCCAGGCAGCCAGGCTGATGTCAGCTGCAGGGGCAGAGGAAAAGACAAACTAAGCACCATGGAGGGGGGAGGGGAGAGGGAAGAGAAAGGGGAAGAAGCTCCCCTTTGCTCTCCTATCAAGTATATTCTGAGTTTGCTGCTTCTGACAAAATTATAAGCTCTCTGAGGGCAGGGGACCTGCCTCACACTTATCAATCTCAGTGAGCACAAGCCAGGAATAGAAAGCCTCAGGAAATCCCAGAGTCCCAAGAGCTGAAAAGAACTTCAGAGTGTACCTGGTCCAACTTATAACCAATAATGGGAAACTTATAACTTCTCAAGGTAGCCTACTACCCTTCACTTTTGGATAGCTGGTTATTTATTCTTTAAAATATACATCACAAATACACACACACAGTGCTTTGCAAACTTTAAAAATGCTATATGAAAATCATTACTTTACATTATTTCTAAATGTGACTGCACACATCATTCCCCTGCTCAAAATGTTACAGCAACTTCCTACTGCCTTTAAATCCAAATTTCCTCTATTTGGCATTGCTATTGGGACTATCTTTCCAGATTTACTACGCATCATACCCCTGCCTACACTCTACAATCACCCCAAATTGGCTTGCTTATTGCTCCTCACACAACCTACCAAGGTCTTGTAAGGCTGTTCCCCATGCCTCGAATGCACTCTCTCCTCACCTCTGCCTCTTATGATCCCCATCTGTATCCACAACTCAGCTCAAGCACTGTTTCTTACAACAGGACTTTCCTGGCTTCCCCAAACTGCTAGGACCTGCACCTCAGCAAAATTACCTTTTATGTGGGATATATTTGGAATTTATTATTGGAATACAGTTTGTATTTATAGGTATATATAGTTTCCAACAGAATAGAAGCGCCCTGAGGATTGGGCCCTTTAAAATTTTGTCAAAGTCAGCTGGTACAATAGATAGAGTACCGGCCCTGGAGTCCAGAGGGCCTGACTGTGTGACCCGGCGCTAGTCACTTAACCCTGATTGCCTCCCCACCCCTAATAAAACAAAATAGAATTTTGTCTTCACTCCTTCATGCCTGAAACTTTCTCCCTCCTCACTTCCATCTACTTCCTGACTTCCTTCAAGACAGCTAAAGTCCTATCTTCTACAAGAAGCTTTTCCTAGAGCTCCTTAATCTTAATGCCTTCCCTCTTAGATTTACCCCATCTCTACCTTGTTTGTACATAGTAGTTATTTGCATGCTTTCTCTCCCCTCAAACAGTGAACTCCTTGAGAAGAAAGGCTGTTATTTGAGGGGTATGTGTTGCCTTTCTTTGTATTTCTAGTACTTAGCATAGTGCCTGGCACCCAGTAGGCACTTAATAAATGCTTGTTGATTGACTGATCTTTATTATTGTTTTTGCTCTGATCACACAGTTGACTGAACACAGAATTCATTAAAAAACAATAAATCAGACTAAACACTCTTATAAAGAAAGATATTAATCTCTAACTATCTGCTAGCCACCCCCTTGTTTCCCTCCTAGATCTTCAAAAGTGTGCTCCCCATCTTACTATAGTGAAGGCTTCAATTCCCTTTGAGCATTATAGAATTTACAGTACATAACTACTGAGTAGTCATGGAAGGTTTAATCATGGAAGGTTTCCCAGAAGAAATGAGTTTTAAGGCTGGTTCCAGAGATGAGGGATATGAATTGGCAGTGGAGAAGCAATGACATGTGCAAAGATATAAAAATGAGAACTAGAAATTACTGAGAATTGAGTATGATTGGAGCCTCTGTTCTCCTGGGTTACATTTTTGGAGCTGTAAGTGATCTTAGTGGCCATCTAAACTAAAATCTTTACTCTGTAGACAAGGACTTGCCCAAGATCAAATAGGTAGTACGTCCAACACCAAAGCTGGCATTTTTCTAGTGTGATACACTAGAGAATAGAGGTTAGTGAGGTAATGGTTGATCTTGAATTTTACAAAGAGTCCACATTTGATCAAATACATCAATGGGTGTTGCCTCAGACAAATTGAGACCTGGGACAGAACTTAGCTTAAAAAGGCCAAGGTGTTCCACTATATCTGGGGCCATCTCAAGTCCTTCAGATCGGTATCTCGCCACAAGACCCAGCCAGCTGCCAGGGAGAGAGTGAAGCTGGTGACTTTGCATAACTCTTAAATCCAATTCATTTGCAAATCATGACATCAACCTTCCCAAGGTTGAAGAACTTCTTCCCAAAGAAGAAGAACTGGTCTTCTTCCAGAACGAAGGACAAACAACAATTACAAATCTAAGACACATAAAGTGTTGTGGAAAGAAGGCCTGGGTTTGTCTCTATCAATGTGACCTTGAGCAAGTCACATAAACCTCTCAGTTTTCTCAACTGTAAATTAAAGTTAATAGGTTAATTTGTAGTACTTCACTGGGTTGCTTGTGAAGAAAAGTACTTTATAAATTATAAAACACCCTCAAAAGGTGCCCTGATGGCATAAAGCAACCACAAACTACTGGGAGGTATCTCCTGCAAAGGTCTGGTTATATACAGTATTATACCACAAAGACTCAGTGATATAGGAATAAAGAGGGAGATCAGCAGAGACTAGAGAAGAAGATTCTGTTAGAGGGAGCTCTTAATAGCACAAAAGGTTAAATTCAGCAAACATTTCTAAAACTGCCTGCTATGAAGGCACTGTCAGAAATGGAAAGGGGCCTTGGACTACAGAACACAGACTGAGGTGGTAGAGATCATCTAAGCCCTATCATTCTCACTTTACTGAAGAGGAAATTGAGACCCAGAGAGGGGGTCTTGCCCCACATCTCACGTCAAGTTGGCATGTCAAAGCTAAAATCAGAAAGGAGTCTACTAACAGCCAATCCAATGCCTTTGGAAAGTCTACAATTCCTGTGAAAGGCTTGTCTCATCACCTAGTATGTACCTGAGGAATTCCAGGAACCAAAAGTATTATAGACAGAGAACATAACCAGAGATTAATAAATGTTTATTGAATGAATTATACAGTCCGTGACCATCCCTTTCCCTGAACACTAGGATTTCCAACTTCAAGAAAACTTCTTGGGGCTCTTTAAATGGGGGCCTTGTGGCTACCATGCCCCTGTAAGGGAAACTAGATAATTTTTGGCAAAACAGAGATGGCAAGAACCAAGGGAAGGAACAGAGAAAAACAAGAATGCCTCAGGGGCAAGGGAGAACATTGTGTCCTATGTGCAGAGACAAAATACTACCACCTCCTCTATCCCTCCTGCCAGGCCAGCAGAGCTCCTTCATAAAGTCTTCCCTGACTACCATGGAGCAAGCATGGTGTTATAGAAAGAGCATTCCAATCTTCAACCCCTCCAACACACCTGAACTTCCAAACAGCCCAAATCACCTCCTCAGCAGACCCTCCAGTAGAGCCTGAGGACTACTGAGATTTACCTTACTTGTCAAAGCCCTTTCCATCCTTCAAAGTCTAGCTCAAATCTTACTTCTCCCTGGCGCTGTCATAGGGTTTAGCTTGTAGCCCTTTCGGAGCCCTGAGCATCCAGGGCCTTGTATCTTTATCTGTGTATGTGCAAGACTGGTCCCCTCACCTCAACTATGAATTCTTTGAGAAGGGGGCACAGGCAGTGCTGGGCTCAGAGATGGATGGATAAATACATGCATACACACATAGATGTATGTATATATCAACGACAGATACATACATAGGTGCATGTATGCATATATGAATGACAGATCTAGTTATATTAAGTGACTACTATGGCACTGTGTTAAGCAAATATTATCTTATTTAATCCTAATAAACCTGTGAGGTTGGTGCTATTATCTCATTTCATTCTTATTCCTGTATCACTTTAAGATTTACAAATCATTTTCCTCAGAGGTAAGTGTCAATTATTTGTAAAACTTTTTTTTAATAGCTAAGGAAAGGGGCACTCAGAAAGATTAAGTGTTTTCCCCAAATCACACAACTGCTAGTCGGGGTCAGAAGACGGGAACTGAATCCTGGCCTTCTGACCCCCATGTCCCGGGCTCTTCTCATTTTATTCCCTCTCAGAACCCCAAATGCCAGAACAAGCAACAGAGAATGTTGAGAGAGAGAGCCCTTGGCGATCAATCCTCCACCCCCGCCCCCCCGCCCGCGTCTGTACCACTTCATTTTTGAGTGGCCCAGAGAGACTTGGCCAAAGTCACCCAACAAGTTGGTGCCAGGGCTAGAATCTAGACCCAGATCTCCTGGCTCCCACTCCAGGGCTCTCCTAGTCTCAAACTTTATCCCCAACTTCATGTCCTTCCAGGGTGGGCCTCAATTGGGTGGGTTCAGTCTTGGAAAGAGGTGGCTCTCAGTCCCACAACTCCAGGGTCCAGCTCGGCCCGGTTTCCCGGGGTCCCCTAGCCACCTGCCCATTAAAGCCCCGCCCCTAAGCACGCTTTTCGCAGCCCCCAGTCCTACGGCAGCCAAGCGAAGGAGGGCACACTGGGACTAGTAGTTTCCCCTCCACCTCCCATCTTGGGTTGCAGCCATCGGAGAACTACAGTTCCCAATAGGCACCGCGCCGGATCCCCGCTAGGCTATTCCAGGCCAACGTGCCAAACCTTCAATTCAAAGAGACCAAATCCGCGGGTCTCCCCAGGCCGTCCCAGGGACCCACTGCAAGCCCGCCTATTGGTAGCCACAGTGCAACCCCCGGGGACGGCTGCAAACCCCAGCCTCATGCAATCCTCGAGTGCGCCGTAACCCACCCGGTACTCCCTCCTCCCTTCCCCCTCTGTCTTACCGACTTTGTAGGGCAGTTTGTCAGACATGTTGCGGCCTCCTTCGCAGTTACTTAATGACTTAGCAGAGACGACCGCGCGGAGGCTTCAGGGATGGGGGCGATGGGGGCCACAAGAAGGCCGAGGAGGGCGGCAGGCAGCACCAGGAGGGGAGCGGCGCGTGGCCGGGACACCTTTAAATAGTCTTCCTCCGCAATCTGCATATTCATGAGCGCTCCTTCCAGTGGGGTTGGGGCTGGCGCAGCGCGGAGCTGGGCGGGGAGGAGCGGGACAGAACTGGGCGGGGCCGGCTGAAACTTCGAACCTCCCGGCAGAGTACGGCGCTAAGCTTTGCCTACTCGGCGCCCAGCGGCCTGGGGCCGGCCTTCCTGCCTGGGTTCCGCGGGCAAGGCCGCGAGTTGTGCGCGAAACTTGGACTGCTGTAGAGGCCCGGGATCCCACCTCTGCCACTGAATCCCCATGTGACCTTGGTCTAGTCCCTTCTCTCCAGGGCCCGTGGTTTCTTCTAAAATGAAAGGGTTGGGCTAGATGGTGCAGCCCCATCTTGGTCCCAGAAATTCTTCAGTTTAGCGAAAGGAGGCCTGGGGCCCAGCAGAGTGTCCAGAAGTCTGCAGAGAGAGACCCCAAGGGGAGGAGCTTGTGGCAGTGGAAATGAATGAATGAGCGATTGAAAAAAGCATTTAAGTGCTTATTTTGTGCAAAGCTCTGAAGATACAAATAGAAAAAGCAAGACAGTCCATACTCTCGTTGAGATCATGTTCTAATGGGGGAGACACCACATAATGCAGATTTCAGCTTCAAGTCCAATGGAAAAGTCCTCTCTTACGTCATTTTCTCTGATAAAATCCTATCAGTTTCTGCTGTTGAACTAAATTGTTGGTGTGTGGATATGGAATCAAGAGATCCTTGGGATCCAGTTTCTGCTTAGCCACCAATTATCTGTCTGTGGCACTACAGGCAAATGAAGCCCTCTATGGGCTTTAGTTTTCCTGTCTGTTAAATGAGAATTGCAAGATCAGAATACTATCTGTACTGCCTACCTCACAAAGTACTTTATTTTTTTAAATTAATTTATTTTGATTTATCAACAATCACTTCCATATGCTTTTGAGTTTAAAATTTTTCTCCCCCTTCCTCCCCACCACCCTCCCCAAGAGGGTGCACAATCTTATATAAGCTATACATATACATTCCTATTAAACATATTTTCACATTAGTGATGTTGTAAGAATTAGGAGGAACCACCAGAAAGAGGAAACAAAACTCAACAGAAGAAAAAAAAATAGCAAATAGTATGCTTCCATCTGCATTCAAACTCCATAGTTCTTTCTTTGGATGTGGATAGCATTTTCCATCACAAGGCCTTTGGAGATGTGTTAGATCCTTGTATTGCTGGGAAGAGTTAAGTTTATCAGTGTTAGTCATCGCACAATGTGACTTATTGTGTACAACGTTCTCTTGGTTCTGCTCACAAAGCACTTGAGAAAGGAAAGCATTTTTGTACATTTTAAACAACTGTAGTTCAGTTAGTGGTGGCCCCACAGCTGTCTGTGTGACTTTGAAAAGAGTTCCTTCTCTCCTCCAGGCCTCAGACGACCACATTTAAGGTTTACAAAGGCAGTTAAGATTTCATCAAGCTTAGAGGGTCTGTGAAAATCTGGCATTCTGCCCATTTCCTCTTGACCTATCTGTGGGAGGTAGATTCTGTCCCCAGTATAGTAGTCTTGGTTTCCTGGTTTGAAGGTAGCATGTGTGTACTGGACCTGTGTTATCTGTGTAGAAAGCTGCCCTGTTTGCCAGTAGGGTCTCACATACACTTGTTGGGAAATACCCTGACCTCTCAGTAATAAGATCACATGGTCTTTGGACCTTGTTTACTTGTAGTTTGGCAGCTGTCAGTCTTGACTAAGGAATCCCCAATGCACCTTCAGTGTTCCCAAAAGGGGCTTCTTTCTTGGACTTTGATCCAATGCCTTAGATTTCAGAATTACTTTGGACCACAGGAATTGACCGTTTCCAACTTAATCCAGTCTTTCTCAGTATCCATGAATCCCTCTACAGCCTCTCGGGCAGGTGGCTATCTATCCTCTAACCAACATCTTCTGATGCATCCTGTTCCACTTCTAGACAGCTCTGTTTGTTAGAAAGACCTTCTTTGTATTGATTGAGTCGAAATATGCTTCTAGTAATTTCTACCCACTGGGCCTGGGTTTGGGTCAGAATACTCATTAGAAAGCATTTATTAGACCAAATCAGACTCAGGTGACATATGCCAGATTTCCTAGCCCTGGGTTTAGCCAGAACCATCCAAACTTCTCTTCTGATCCCCTTACCGTACTTGTTGTTTTCTTCAAGGCCCACAGGGATTTCTTTCTTCTTTCCACCCCTGACCCTTACAGAAAAATTCTAATCAATATAACCTCACAAAACAGTGAGAAAGAATGGAGGAAAAATAAGGTTGCAGAAAGCTTGGCATGAGACTCAATTCAACTGGGTTAACAATGTCAAGAGTATTTAAAGATTAAATTAGGACAACAGACTAAAAATGGAAAAGATTATCAACATTTCTATAACAAATTATTTTCTTGATCAGTGATAGTGGAGTCCTCATTTAGACTTTAACCCCCTTAGTTCTTGATGTGCTGTCCTTGATGAGGAAATGGAAATGGCACTAGAGAAGGTAAAGATAGCAAAAACAGCTGGACCAGATCAAGTATATATAGGTCCATGCTAGAGGTGACACAATTTTTATAGGTTTGAAGGATCAATCCTCAAACTATCTGAAAGAGGAGAAATACCAACAGATTTGAAAAAAATCACATTCAGCATTACAGTGGAAAAAAAGTCACCAGAGTAGATGTCAGGAACCACAGACCCATATGCTTACCTTCTCAACTCCACAAAATCTTTGTGAGAATGGTCTGCAACACGTAAGAAAGTGACAGATAGGTTTCCCATATGATTCTATGGCAGATCACATTCTTAGAGTCAAACAATTGACTGAAAGGCTCTATTGCATTCATTGTTTGTTGACTAAAAAAGAATTTGATTCAGTGGAGCAAAGTGTAGCTTTAAGACTCCCCTCCAACAATGTGTCTTCCATGTAGCTGTTAAGATTATATGTGAGTCCAAAAGATGCAACAACACAAATGAATTTGGTTCTTAGTTCTTTAATTGTTAACATTAAGAGAAATGATTATTTTTCTATTATTTTAATAACCAATTGTTCAATTAGGTTTAAGGTTTTTCCTTTCTATTTCCTTATTCAAGGACCAGCCCTTGCAGGTCATTCAGTCAGTCTCTGAGGGGTATTGCTAATAGATGAGATTGTCCAAATCCTTAGGGATATGCTCTTTGTTCTTGGGCAGGACCCAACCAGATAGAAGATCTTACTTCTGTTTAAAGTGCAAATGGAATTCAGTCCAGGTGAGTTTTTGCCCCAAGGAAGCGAGCTCCTGTCCTTGGAACCCTCCATTAGCATTTAGGATGACCCAGTTTATGAAGGAGAAAACCAACCAGAGTGGTCTGGGTAGCAATGGATTCCTTTGTCCAGTTTACTGGAGGCAGCTGAGTCTCATGATCAAGTCACATTCTCAGCAAGAGGAGCTGAAGACTTTTAACCAACGTCCTAATTAATATGTCTACTCCCTCATTAATTGTTTACCAATCAGGGTTGATTTTCATCTGTCGGGGATACCTCCTTTTCCAAAGATATTTAAGCATTTGGGATCTCCATGGTCAGGTCTTTGGTTACCAAGAGAAACCACTGACCATCAATTTATTATTTGCTAGCCTAATTAATAAATTGATTATTAATTACCTGGAAACTCTGTCTCTCTAATGAGGTCTAGAGGTTTAGGGTACTGGGACCCCGAGATCATGACACACGGGTCCTACCCAAAAGAATTCCACCCAAGCTTTCTTTTAGCCAAAGACAAGGTTTATTAAAGATCCACCATATCAGCCAGACTCTTGAGGAATCTGAGAGTCTGTGAGGTACTGGCTAGATTCTAAGAATCTGAGCAGTGGCTAGATTGTTAGAATCTGAGCATCTTTTTTTTTTTCTTTTTTTTTTTGGCTAGCCAATGGAGTTAAGTGACTTTGCCCAGGGTCACACAGCTAGTAAGTGTTATGTGTCTGAGGCCAGGTTTGAACTCAGGTCCTCTGAATCCAAGGCCGGTGCTCTATCCACTGCACCACTGAGCTGCCCCAAATCTGAGCATCTTAATAGAGACAAGATGGACCTTATATACAGGAAGACTGTGGGAGGGATCTAGGAGTGGCCAAGTAGTTTGGGGTGACTGGAGGAGGGGTCTAAGGAAGATCTGAATGGGAGTGGCCAGTAAGCTGGGGTGAACAGGACTCCTGGGACCTGGACCGCATGGCCAAGGGAGAATGGAGCCTAGCCAGGATTAAGGGTGGGAAAGGGCCAGGGGCCATAGGTAGGGCTAGGCTAGGTGAAGGGTAACAGAACTGGGAGATTGGGCATAGCCACAATCAAAGGCCAGTTGATGGGATTATAGCCTCAGGTGAATGCCAGAAATTTGGCCATGTAGGAAAGTCCAGAGTTTTTCCTTTCTGGGGTCCAGATCCCATCCTCATCGTCTCTAGCTTTTCATTCTCAACATCAGATAAGACACAAAACAGTCAGTCATTAAACATTTATTAAGTAGCTACTATGTGCTAGGCACTCTGCTAAGCACTGGGGCTATAGAAAGGCAAAAAAAAAAAAAAATCCCTGTCCTTGAGGAGCTCACAATCTAATTGGGAAGACATCATACAAAGAACTATAAGCAAGTTATATATAGGATACATGGAGATAATCAATAGAGGGAAGGCACTAGAATTAAGAGGGATTAGGAAAGGCTTCCCTGTAGAAGGTGGGACTTTAGCTGGGACTTGAAGGAAGCCACAAGGCAGAGATGAAGAGGGAGAGCATTCCAAACATGGGGTATAGCCATAGAAAATGCCTATATGTGGGGCAGCTAGGTGATGCAGTGGATAGAGCACTGGCCTTAGAGTCAGGAGGACCTGAGTTCAAATCTGGCCTCAGATACTTGACACTTACTAGTTGTGTGACCCAGGGCAAGTCACTTTAACCCCATTGCCTAGCCAAAAAAAAAAAAGAAAAGAAAAGAAAATGCTTATGTCTTGTTTGAGAACTAG